GGTGGGGGGTGACTGCGTAGCAGACTGGTGACAGGCCGTCATCTCTCTCCCCGCCTGGCATCTGCCCACTGCTGCCAACCCTTTTCTAATCAGCAGCAGTCCATGTGCTTGGCAGCAGAGGGGGTTTCAAATCTGCTCCTCGCCCGGAGTTAAAAACCCTAAGCCCTATCACTTTGTAAACGGGTACCTTTAGGGCGACTGACGCAGGGACACCTCTGATGTGCTGAAGTGGAAAACATCGGTTGCCACGTTGCCTTACATTTGTTGTGCTGCTAGCACTTTAGTCGCCGCTGTTGTTGTTGTTTATCTTTGTTCAAACGGGAATCACAAGGCAGCCTTTTTTCTTTAGGTTTGATTTGTTAACACGTTGTTCTCACTGACATGGATGTTGGGAAAACAGTTCTCGCGGAGTGAAAGTAAAGAAGTAAAACCGATTGGTTTGAAGTTGCTCTCCTCCAGCGGAAAAGTATGCGACCGATGTCATAACTGGTAAAGAAACGCACGTCATTATTTCAGTTCATTTTGACACGGTGACCGACGTCATAACTGGTAAAGAAACGTCATTATTTCAGTTCATTTTGACACTTTTGCAGAAATGGCGGCGCAGAAAAAAAAAAAGAAAAAGATTTTTTGCTTTCAAATTCAACCCTAGAAACATTGGTGCTAACAAGTACAGCCAGAAACAACGCAGATCTTTACTGGTCTGACAATCCATCCCATAGGTTTTCATCTTTAATGTCAGCACGAAACAGATATGTAGAAATCTGACACTGGAACTATTAGAAGATGAAACAGCTTCGTTAACAAGTGCTCACTTGAGAACAAATCAACAGTACAGACGTACAGCACAGGGCTGCAGCTACTGATTCATCTGCAGGGTGGAAGGTGTGCGTGTGTGGGGGGGGGGTTGGTGAAATGGCAGTTGGCTTCAAAAGTAACAAGCACAAAGAATGGTCTATGAAGAAGAAGGGGAAAAGGGTCCAAAAAAATCCACAAATTATAGGAATTATGTGCAGCATGGCTTTCAAACACACACACACATCCAGACAGACTGATTGATGAACCAAACAAGTCCTCGAAAATCAAAGGCATGAAATAAAGGGAGACACAATGGGGGGAAGAATTTGGAATGGACTAACCCTCTCCGGTGGCTCTCTAACCAAGGGTCGGACAGATAGGGTTGCCCAGAAAGAGACTGCTGACAGCCGGTGTCACTGGGCTTTGTAATCATTGTGCTGGACCTGATAGGGTTACGAGCAGCTAATCCAGACTGACCTTGGTTAGGTACCCAGAATGAGGATGGCTTTGTACAGTCGGGACAAGCCAACAGTATGACGGCGATGCTGACATATAATGTCTGTGCGGGGAGTTGCCACCAAAGCTCTTTTGTTGTGCTATCCGGTTGCGTGTTGCCCCCGTCCCCGCCTCACTTCCTCCCCCATCAACAAGCGCGCCACTCACAATCCCAGAGAAACACAGTCGTTCACACAAATGTTTTTCTTTTTCTTCCTGAATGGAAGAAAGGTGGCATTTAAATTGTCACCGGGGAGAAGGTGAGGTTGTTTCACCGGGTTCAAGAGGTCAGCTCTTGTGTTGGATGTTGTAGCAATGACTTCAGAACAAATCCAATCCTGAAGAAATTTCATGTCGGGGGCCACGTATTAGAATGTGTTTGTGTTACTGTCCGAGCCTTTGCATTTGTGTGGGCGTTTGAACGTCTGTCTTGAAATGCCACCAGCGTATCGACACCAAACAAGAGCAGCACAGCAGGTAACTGCTCTGTGTTTCTATCATCTGAAAGCACACGTGTTTGCTGTAGTAGAATATGAGAATAAGAATTTAATAATAAAAACTCCTCTGATCTGATTACCTCTGGTGTAATAACACAGCAGTTATAACAGTCGGGTTAAATTACAGTTTATACACTGCTTTTTAAATGTCAGGTTTTTGAGTGAAAAGACAGGAAAATATATACATGTTAAACTTTGTTTCTTCTCCTCCAGAACTGAGTGCCAGAGCGCTCAGTTCGAGCTGCCTCCTGCTCACTGAGGTGATGGGTTAAAGGCTGAGGCTGTACATCAGTGACAACAATTCACTTCAGTTTCACTTTAATCTGCATTTTAAAAACTAAAAAGACAAGAAGTGATGTCATTGTATGACTGTATTTAATTACATTTTATTGAGTTTAATTCTAATGTGGCTGCTATTATTATTATTATTTTTAATAATTTCACCAGGAGTCTCCATGAAGTGAAGACAAGAGAGTCAGAACTGTGACAATTTTGTGATGCAGAAAAATAAATTAAAAAAAAAAAAAAAATTCACTACACTGCCAGAAGGCAAACAACAGAATTTTTTACAAGAGTAGAGGAATTTCCACCAGGTAAAGTTTGATTCCCACACGATTCACATGTCA